ATTCGCCAATGTAAGGGATAGTTCTAGAAACGTGGCGTCACACTAGTCATGTGACTCGCTGATGCAACAATACTAAAAAAGAGGGCATCCTGGATGCACTAGGAAATTCATGATCATTTGAGAAATTCCTCGCACATGCCACCAGTGCCAATGCGCAAGCAGCTTCACGTGATTTCTGCTGTCATAACAGTATCCACAAGAAATGAGATTCAGCAAAGGAAAGGAGAAACAAGTAAACAAAAGAAAATTTTTATTCACATGTGAGTTCTTACTTACCATTCAGTTTATTTATTGTTAGTGTGGTCAGTTTCTTGTGAATGAGAGGCTTTCTACATGTATTCGTAGGAGGAAAACAAAAATAATTATATTATAATGCATTTTCAAAATCCCAAACTGCATACATCACTGGCTATCCCAGATAATATATATACATATAACATGAGTTATAAGAATGAATGATTTGTTCAGTTTCCTCATCTTTCAGCTATAACATGAGTTATAAGAGTAAATAATTAGTTTAGTTTCCTCATCTTACACCTATAACATTTATGTTGCTTATCAAATGTTGGGTAACCTTATTCAAATAGAAACCCTTTATCTTGATAGGGTGAGAACGCAAAATTTAGGCTACAGTTGCTAAGCCATGATGACATCTTTGAAGTTACTCCTGCTGTAGGAATGAACAAACTTCCATTCCTTATTCGTGTTAAAAATTCATCTGTGTTGAAATATGACTGTGCAACAGAATGTGAAACAAAGGTTTTCCAATTGCAGGTAAGCTAAAACTTGACAATTCAATATAATTGTTTCATTAAGATAGATGTGGTTATGGTACATTGTTAATTATTAAATCAGATTTAATGTATTGTTTCAAAATCGTAAGTTTTACACAATTTTGTATATTAATATATAAAAAAAAGTGGTTATACAATTTTGATCATTTTGTAGCTTGGCAACAATCTTGACATAATTGTTTTAATGTTCATAATGAAGAAAAAATTACTTCTATATTTAATTATAAGAGCAAGCACTAGCAATATTGATTTGTTATAACATGTAGAATTTATCCTTCATAAAAACTTATAAAACTTGTTGAAGAAAGACACACTTCCTGTAATATCATTATTTTAAAGATATGAGTTAGAATATATTTCAATTTGTATTTTCATAGCTATAATTCATCAAAAAACTTGTGCACACTTACTTAATATAAAAAAGAATTACTTTTTTGTTTATCTGAGCACTAATGTGTATATTTCATGTACTTAATATAAAAAAGAATTACTTTTTTGTTTATCTGAGCACTGATGTGTATATTTCATGTACTTAATATAAAAAAGGAATTACTTTTTGTTTATCTGAGCACTGATGTGTATATTTCATGTACTTAATATAAAAAAGGAATTACTTTTTTGTTTATCTGAGCACTGATGTGTATATTTCATGTACTTAATATAAAAAAGGAATTAATTTTTTTGTTTTCTGAGCACTGATGTGTATATTTCATGTACTTAATATAAAAAAGGAATTAATTTTTTGTTTTCCGAGCACTGATGTGTAA